GCAAAGTAGCTGGGTACACAACTTCAGCTTGTATTGCCTCAATTGGTTTTGACGGTACTACGCACCGCTTCAACCAAATCATAAAGAAGCCCGCAAGAAGAGCCGTGTCAGAAATAGGAACTGTGACTTGGTGGTGGAAACTTTCAAATTCGACACCAGCCTCAAAATTATCCTCTGCATGCTCTGTCTTATAGGTAACACTGGAAGCCTTAATTCGAGCTTTAGCGTCCTTAGGAGAGATGACTGCAACACGAGATACGGCTACATCTTTCCGGTTTAAGTTCTGAAAAAGGTATTCCGCCCACGTGGTATGCATAATGCCCCCCTCCACCATCCCAAAGACTTGGGCACATATGTGGAAGTGACACATCAACTCCCAGAAAGTAGCGTAAATTTCCGGGTGCGCCACCTTCAGTAGGAAAAGCTCCTCGGTGGTGGGGATGAACTCCTCGTAGGGCGTTTTTCCGAGCGACAACCCCGACACTGCTTGCATCTCATGAAGAGCAAAACCTAACTCTCCTGTAGGCATGAAGAATGTGCAACTGTCCGGGTTATATTTCTCCAACATAGTGAAGAAATTGTGATAACTCTGCACGACACCCCATCGAGTAGCTAACACGGGAATTGTGAGACCTGATTGAGCGAGTGACTCCTTAAGCTCCTCAAGAACGAAGTCAACCATGCGGGTCCACCAACCTCCTTCTCCAGAACAGACCCATCCAGGGGATCTGAACATCTAGGTAGAGAATTCACCCTGAGTTGCAAGGAATTGGTGAATAAAGATGTTCGTTGGACGTGGCATCTCCTGAATCGGGTCCTTCTTCTCAAATAAACCGTGTCTCAACCCCTTGAGTTGCCCCCGATTTGTGTACGAGCCCATCGACCAAATCCAAGAGACACATTCTCTTTCTCTTTGACTATGTCGAAGGTCAAACCCTGACGACAGCTCAAATTCAAGAAATTGGAGAGTGGGTACATCCTCTTCATGTTTGGGAGGAATAAAAAGCGATTATCAACCCTCCGCAGCAACTTTGAATCTTCCACATATGTGAGGTGATCATCGACTGGTATACGATCTCAAAATATGAACGCTGGTTTGGGAAACTGGGCATGACCGGTAGGGGTCTCCATGTCTAAGTCGGTAATCAGAACCCTGAGAGTGGAGCATCGAGGGAATTTAATCATATCCGCTCTCTCCGAGTCAGGGAAGGTACACAGTGGAAGGGAATTTAATCATATCCGCTCTCTCCGAGTCAGGGAAGGTACACAGTGGAATTCTGCTCTGAAGACTGAATATTTCATTCGCGAGTCAGGGAAGGTACACAGTGGAATTCTGCTCTGAAGACTGAATATTTCATTCGCGTCAGGTCCACCATATATCCAAAATGATGCTCTTGTGAAAGCCACACGTTTGGGAGAAGCTCTGCGCAATCAAAAGCAGAGGTTAGCAGCTAGAAGCAAGCTGTTGATATAAAGACAGAGTCTGAAACACAAGAGGTTGAGCCTCGTGTCAAAAAGAATCTCTCACACAAGGGTTAAAAGTCTCGTGTTAAAATCTCAAACGCGATGGTCGAGCCTCATGTCAGAAATCTCGAACGCGAGAGTCAAACCTCGTGTTGAAAAACTTGAACGCGAGAGTCGAGACCCACATGGAATCCCAATTCCGCGTTCTCATTGAATAGAAACGATTCATCTTCCTCGTTATCAAGAACCCATCTAGGGTTTTCAGAGAACTTGCTAAGGCAAGTTAGTTCGGTCAACACTCACCACGACAGGGAGGCCCCTGCGACTGCGATGACGATGACGATGTTCCCGCACGAACAAGAACACCGCCGGCATCCTCAGCCGACGGCGTTTCAGAAGTCGCTCCAGCGACTTTCTGGGAGCTAGAGTTCATTCGTCGTGACGCCATCGATATAATCGGTCGGAGAAGGCGTCGTCGGTCGAAGGAGATGAAGTTTGCATCAAACGAGAGTTTTCGTTCTTGGAAATAGCCGAAAATTTAGAGAGTCAAGTGACTCTTGACGTGACCACTCAGGTCTATTTATAACAGCCGTCAAGCTGTTAAGATGGCATAGGATTCTAGGAGTGAATCCCAACCATCTTTGAAACGCGAAGTTCACAACCGCGTTCAAATTCCCAAGTGCAAGGCTCAAGCCAGTGTTACGAAGGCCTGAACCTCGCATTTTGAACCTTAAATGCGAAGGTCACCTTAGCGTTGCAATTCTTCTAAATGAAGAACCTACACTTGTGTCTTCAAACACGACACTTATTCCTCAAAGTCATGAGCCCTCTTAACAGAGTGTTAATCAAAACCTCTGTATCTCTTCAGCAGAATCTAAATTCTCATTGGGTTAATATTATGTGATACGGGTGTATCTTCTCTTCGGAAAAATGATCCTCATGGGAGCTTGAGGATAGGTGATTCTCATGATATCTTGAGAATAGAGGCGTGGTTGGAGCCATAGAGGATGGCGAAAGAAGTCAGAAGGAGTGGAACGCAGAAGATCAGGAAAAACAGGGTCGGGTTCTGGCCGGTCGACCGCGGCACCCATGTCGGTCGACCGGAGAAACCTGCACAAGGCAGGGTTTGCAGAAGCGCTCTGGCCGGTCGACCAGACCATGCTTGGCGGTCGACCGGATCGTGAATTCTGGGTTTCCTGTTTCGTTTTGGATTGGCCGGTCGACCGGACCAAGTCTGGCAGTCGACCGGATCGCGATTTCTGGGTTTCCTGTTTCGTTTTGGATTCTGTTTTGACAGGGATTCCTGATTCTTTTGGGCTTGTTTATTTACAAGATTGCCATCCACGTTTGCACATCTATAAATATGATTGTTTTAGGGTTCTAAACAATCAGATCTCAGGGAGAAGTGATCAAGAGAAATTCTAATAATTGTATTAGGGTTTAGAGAGAGAGTTGAGAGGTTGTTCTCGATTCTAGTGAGATTGTGAGGGAGAGATTGTAATCTTTGTTCTTCATAATCTAGAGAAGGTATTTTCCTTCGCCTTATACTGAATTGTTCTTGTGTTTGGTCATCCTCTTCTCAACCCACCTTTTGGTAATTTCGCGACCAAAGGGTGCTCGCACGGCGACTCGTATCATTATGCCCCAGATGGTCATCATCCCTACAGAGTCTAAGTTTAGCTGGCTTTAATACCAATGCAGCTATAGCTCCTCTGTCAGAATCCACTTATCGATTCTCATTAATAGAACGATAAGTCTCTAAAATCATTTAGATCATTGTCAATTTATTAGCTCTCCTCAGCAGAGTAATAAATAACCAGTTTTCAGTGGGATAATAAAATACCCCAACTTCTTGTTCAAATCACAAGTATCACAATTCATCGCTCCGATGATAAAACACTTAGCAGTTCTCCCCAGTGAGACGCTACAATATTCTTTCCCCACAGATGTCACGTTAAAATCACACCTCTGACAAAATCAACTTATCGATTCTCGTCAATAGAGCGATAAGTCCTCAAAATTGCCCTGATCGCAATATTTCTCATGTCACGTTAAAATCACACCTCTAACAAAATCAACTTATCGATTCTCGTCAATAGAGCGATAAGTCCTCAAAATTACCCTGATCACAATATTTCTCCTGTCACGTTAAAATCACACCTCTGACAAAATCAACTTATCGATTCTCGTCAATAGAGCGATAAGTCCTCAAAATTGCCCTGATCGTAATATTCCCCCTGCCAAGTTAAAAAGCTATACCTCTGGCACTTATAGACTTCTTTCAGTGTTCCAAGCAAAAATAACACAGGAAGAATTCTACTAGTCAGCCCCATTACGGGAAAATAATAAAATATTAATCCTCAGCAGTTTGAAACTTTCTGGAGTTATCTTAAACGATAATAAAGAGAGTTTTCTGCATCAGAACCATTGTGGAGATCTATTCTAAATCGGGAATACATCTTAGGTATTTCTCGTGATTTGTTGCTTAAAATCAAAACACGATAAATGCAAGAAACAATGAGGAATCAATATCACTTTTTTTCAAGAACCAAAAGAAAGTGATACAAGACAAATTTGTTCTTATCAAAAGAACATTACAAGTGCAAAATTCACTCGTGCATCAAATCAAAAGAAATAAGTTGGGTCCTAACTTCAGTTAGCTCCTCCTCGTGAGTGGTTCGCACCATGGCTTCAGCCTTTGCCTGGAGTTCTTCCTCACTGGGTATGATGATAGCCGCCGCTTCATTCCTGGCTTGTTCCAAAGCTCGAGCCTGCGTGTGATATTCCAAAGCACCAGTAGCATTTTGGGTGCTAAGGATATTGACAACATTTTCTTCACGGAAGAGTTCAGCCTTTAATCGCAGGACTTCAGCCTCTGCTTCAACAAGTCTATCATGAAGCGAATTCATAGAAGTAGTCGAGCATTCTAACTCTTCTCGCTTCTGAATATTACGCTCGCGAAGCTCCGTGATTTGACGTTCTCATTCAGCCAAGTCCCGTTCTATCGCCTCCCGGCGAGCCACTTCTGCAACCTGAAGACTGGCCAAAGTAGACACAATTTGTGGCTGAAGCTCTCTGCGACCCAAGGCCTCAAAATGCAGTAATTGTTCTTCCAAATGAAGGATAATCTTAGAACATCGCTCGAACCACGGAATGTTTCCCACACTTCTGACTCCGTTTAAGCCTGCCTCCAGAAGAGGTCGGAAGGAATTAAAAGTTCCCTGACCACTCACCGCATATTCAATCATCTTCTTCGTGAGGCTATTCAAATACACCAAGGAAATTTGAAGGAACTCAGGTGCACCCGCAAGACTTGAAATGACACTCGGGGATGCTCCCCTAGCCATTGAAATGGGTGCAGGAGATCCGGGCACCGAAGTTGCAGAAGCGGTAGAAACATTCAATTGTGATGGGCTTGAGGTCAAAGCCATCATCGCCCTTGCCTAAGATGTGCTTGGACGTGCATCTGTTGGAGTAAGCGAGATCTTCAGCAATGCGGTAGGTGAAGCAGCTACAGTAGATGAGGCAGGTAGAGGCTACTCTTGCGCAGGAGCTGACACCTGCACGACCTGCTGTTCCAGAGGAGAAGTCACGATATTAGCCTCCGGTAATGCTGTAGTTGAAGCAGTCGCCACAGGTGAGCCTGGTAAGTGTTGCTCTTGTAAAGGAGCTGGCACCTGCGCGACCTGTTGTTCTGAAGAAGGAGGAGCAGTAGTAGTCCCTGGAGGAGGTGAACCTGCACGAAAAAATGGTCGGAATGCGAAAAAAGCATATGGAAGAATTTCAAACAAACACGGCTTACCGGTGAGATAAAAAGGAGTATAACCAGATGCTTTATCGGATGGAGCCTTGGGAGCATCGTCAAAAGTGGTGATGTCATCCATGGAATCATGTCCATCGTCTCCTTCACCGTCACCTGGCGCATTGCCAATTTCAGCATCCTCATCACCTCTATCTTCGTCAGTTGCATCACCAATCGAGGAGCCTTCATAATCAACTTGCTCCTCATCATCCCGGGTAGCCGAGGGTTCAGGAAGATTTGTGCCAGCAGCTGGTTTATTCGTAAGTCCCATTGTAGGACTAGGAATTAAATCACTAGCTTGTGACATTAATGCTGAAGGAGGAGGGGATGGATTCTCTTCGAGACCCCCTGGTTCTAATGCAGGAGACTTAGGAAGGTCCATCACCGGAGCAGATTCTGCATCTGCAGCCATTAATTCGCCCTCTTCATCCTCGGGGGGATGGTAAGAAGAAGCTTGTTTTCGGTAAAAGTTGCCTTCATTACTGAACTCATTATAATATTAGTGTTTACAAAGAATTCAGATCTTAATCAAAAGAAAAGAAGAAAAATTACAACTTTCTCGAAAATAAACACAAGATCCGTTCGTCGTCTCTTGCTTGCGTGGGTCTTTAGCCTGTGACGGGGATGTCGATATCCGTGGACTACCTGGCAATCAGATCAGGTCCAGAACTTCGTCGATCCGTGAGGAGATCTAGAAACAGAAGCGCCTATCTCAATAAAAGCGAGATAATTGCTCTTCTTATATTTACCACAACGGGATAATACTAAGGATTGGATGCGGGTGATGTAGATCTAAGGACTTTCGATCTCTTGTGTTGAAGAACTCGATCACTCTTCAGTTCGGCAGGGCTTCGCCAATTCTCCAAAATTCCAGATCTCAAAAAATGAGGCCTAAGGCTTGTATTTATAGGCTTGAGGGGTTGCGGAGCGGTTAAAACAATCTTAAAGCCCAAATCTGCCTTGGAGACACCCTAGGGTGTCTCCACTTGATCCGAGACACCCTAGGGTGTCTCGGTTTGGGTCCGAGACACTCCATTGAGGTGTATTCATCCGCTTTCGCTGTAAATTTTTCGTCCGAACTCGGATTTGAGTGATTCAAAATGCATTGGAAAGCTGACGAGGAGTTCTATCAGCTTCGATGGTTAGATCATCTGTTGAATGAATGAGACACGAAGGGCATTATTCCTTTTGTAAACATCGCGGGGCTCCTGATTAGCCCGTACCTTCGTTAGTTCATGTAGTTCGTTGATTCACTTCAATCGTCCATCGACATCAATCGAACTCCTGTGAACCGGATAGTGACATTCATCGTCGTTCCTTAACACTGAGCTGTTCGTGGAGACCTATAGGCAATTTTTGATGCCTACAGATACCCCCTCCAAAGCGTTCCAGACTCGTTTCTTTTATAGAGGAGGCTGGAATACTTTGGATGTGATTGGTCCAACCTTCAGTCAGCGTAAAGGACCTGTAGTTAGCTTCAACTCTTGGCTCCTTCGATTTTCGGTCTATTCAATGCTTTGACGAATAGCCGAAGTTCTTCCGGCGCTGCGTTTATCGCCTGGCCGTCGTCAGAGTCTTGAGTCTATTACCAGTGAGTTGAGTTTGGCTCGTGTCATTGACTTTGAATTGACTATCTCTGTCATATTGTGCTGATTTAGGGTTTCAGATTACCGTATGTTGATTTTTGGTCGCAACGCGTTGACCGGCGTTGACCTAGGGTTACGCGTTGACCGGCGTTGACCCTAGGGTTTCGAATGTCGTACGTCGACACAATTTAAGCTCTTAAGGTATTGGAGCATGGTGGTCCCAAGTGTCGGGGCTGCAGGACCAACTGTTAAAGCTGATTCATCTGCATTTGTGGATCTTATTTTAATATTGTTGGATAATCGAGTCACGAGACCAACTAACAGAGTTGATGCATCAATGACTCGCACTTATAGAATTTTTGGCAAATTCTCAGCCATCAACGGGTTTGATGAGCCTTTACCGACTACCGTTTGAGTCGGGCTAGCATGCAGATTGTTTAGATCCGTTCTACACATAACGTTGTGCTAAAAGAGTTAACTCTTTTAATGCTACGACATTGAATACGTAGACTTCGTCTTTCTCACGGGAATAGACTACCCGGCAACGCGTGTTAGGCGCTGACTTATCCTTACTTAGGATTCAGGATAAAAATCCCCAGACTCGGATTCTGGTGTCTTCTTCAATCGGTAAAAGACTAAACCGGCAACGCGTGTTAGGCGTTGACTTATTAGGATTCAGGATGAAATTCCCCATGCGTGTAAGGCATGGATTTTGGTGTTTTTAATAACAACCTGCCACAATATTGAATATGTGGGTGGGTGTTCTTTTTAACGGTTAAGAACTAACCGGCAGCGTGGGTTAAGCGCAAACTTATCCCTGCTTAGTGTTTCGGGACAGAATACCCCAGAATCGAACTCTGGTGTCTTCTTCTTCGGAGAAAGACTAAACCGGCAGCGCGTGTTAGGCGCAGACTTATCCCTGCTTAGGATTCGGGATAAACTTCCTAGGATGAATCCTAAATTCTTGGAAAAGGGTTGGTGTGGGAAAGGGAGAATTTTATATTCTATCTCCCGACACTGAAGAAGAATTTTATATTCTATCTTCAGCTGGAAAAGAGACTCGAGGTGGGATCTCCACCCCCAGAATCCGAAGAGGTGAAACTAGGAGTGGGATCTCCACTCTTGAGGTGACCCTAACTGTAGGAAGGTTTGATCACTTGATTTGAAAGTGGACCTCTCGTTCATTGGAGGAATCGAGAGGGGATTTTGACTGTGGTCTTAACTGTAAGAAGGTTTGACCAATTGGGAGGTTTGAGACGATCCTAACTGTAGGAAGGTTTGATCGCTCGATCTGTGGACCTCTCGTTCATTGGAGGAATCGAGATGGGGATTTTGACTGTGGTCCTAACTGTAAGAAGGTTTGACCAATTGGGAGGTTTGAGACGATCCTAACTGTAGGAAGGTTTGATTGCTCGATCTGTGGACCTCTCGTTCATTGGAGGAATCGAGAGGGGGATTTGGGTCGTGGTCCTAACTGTAGAAAGGTTTGACCAGGTGACAGATCAAGATTTATTATATCCGGACTCTAACTATGAAAGTGTTGAGTGCACGAACATAGCGTAAGTTTGATTGGATTAAACTTGATCGAATTTAGTGGTCCCACCGTCAATTAGTCTGATCGGTGAGAGATTTAGTGTTCATCACTTTGTTCATATCGATCGGGTTATCCCTAAGAATATTAACATTCTTTTGGGAACTTCCCGTTACACGAATTATCCACCCCCAGCTTCCTCTGCGGAACTGGTTCGGACATTATTCTCAGTTACCTGATCGGGTTATCCTTAAGAATATTAGTGTAATATTCTCCAAGAACTTCTCGTCAAAAGTGGGAAACAGTTTAGACTCATATAACTATTGGAGTATGCAGGGAGCAGTTTAACCTCTTGCACCTGTTGGAGGATTGAGAAACAGTTTATACTCGTATACTCTTTGGAGTCTTGTTTTGACTTAATTGAGCGATATAACGCCAGCTTCAACCAAGGTCTGAATGCTATTCTTGAGAGCAAAGCAATCCTTGATGGGATGAACGATCCTCCTGTGGTATGCACAGTACTTTGGGTCCGTAGTGTTGTCAGCTTCCTCCTGATTTGTGATAGGTGGTAGCTTGATCTTGTTGCTTCCAAGGAGGGATTCGAAGATGGCTGGAACGTCTTCGTCTTTGAAGGAATACTCTCTTTGGAGTCTCGGACCCGAAGTCTTTTGATGTTTTCGGAGTTGCTTTTGCGACGTCTGGTTAGCGTCAACAGCTGTTGCAGGTGATTTGCCTTTGCCACGAGAGGCAAAGTTCAAGTTCGGAGGATTAGCCGTCGGTTGGTTCCTCTCAGCCTTCTTCCTTCGGAGGAAGCGTTCGGCTTGTTCACCGCGCACCTTCAAGTCTTTCCAAGTGTCAGACGGTGCTGTTCCCATCGCTTCGAGGATGTCCAATGAAAGATTATTGTGACAAGTCTCGAGGATAAAGTCTTCACTAACCGGATCCCTATAATTCATTGCTTTGTTTCGGAATCTCTTTACGAAGTTTTCAACTGTTTCACCATTTTTTTGCTTCTCGTCTCGAGCATCTTGGCCACTTGTTCTGCACTTATCATGAGTGCCTCGTGGGGTTGTCCCTCGCTGGATACCATGTTGTCCGATGCAATCGTAGAGCAGGCATCCGATTCTTCATCTTCTGACGGTAATCTCATCCGAACCCTACCATAAGTTCCTCGTGTAATGGCTCCAGACTGCAGACGAGTTAGATACTGGGGTACTGGTGGAATTGACTCGGGATTATCCTGTGTCGATGCCCTTTTGCTGGTCATATTGGTGGTGACCCTCGGAAATTCTTCGTCTTTGACTATCCTTCTTCTTCGTCGGAAACGCCTAGGCTTGGTCTCGGATGTTCCGGTGGAAATTCTCTCGAACACCGAAACTCTCCTTGGGGCTTTAGAACAGCAGCATTCTGACAATACCGCCTTGATTATGTTGGCACACGGACAGTGAGACTCCGTGTCTTGAGCGTCTCTCTTTCGAGACTTACCCGCACTCCCGACTCTATAGTACAACTCGTCAGTTTGATAACTGGAGCAACCCATAGAGTACTGGCATAACCTCCCAGGTATAACACCATCATCGTCAGACGAATATGTTTCCCTCTGGGGATACGATGCTTTATTAGCATCTTCAAAAGTCGCTCGTTCAAGTCTACGCTTTTGCGAGCGTGAAAACTTAACGGGTTCTTGAACTTCAACCCGCAATCCAATGCGGTCGGTAACCGGGGCTTTCCAGTCTGGTTCATTGTTTGGGGACCTTTCAATGGTCCCAATCGCTCCTTGACAAGTGTCTTACCTCGATTTTAAGGTAAAGGACCGAGGCGACCTTTCAAAGGAACTTTGGATCTTGGAGGACCCACATTCTTACCTGGCTCTACCGGAGGTGCGGGAGCAGGGGAAACGGGATCTTGATTTGAAGAAGGTTGGACGGCAACTCCGTCCACTTTTGTCTTAGGCGCCGGTTTTACCTTTGGCACCCACACGTGCTTGTGTCTAGACGGCTTCTTGACCGTCTCCTCTTTCTGCATCTCTTCTGCTTTCTGCAGAAGGACTCGGGCATGCGCAAGCAATGCGCGGCGTTTCTTGATTCGCTCTTCGAGGGTTGAGCGAGTCCTCTTGACACGAATCCATTCGTTCGTTTCTGTCTTGGAGGAGGAGTTGGTTATTCGCCGTTGTTGCTCTTGGCGCTGTCTGGACTTTAGATCCTCATTGTAGCGGATCCCGTCTATCGATTCTGCGGCCTTGGCCAATTGTCGCACAAGGCGTTGACGCCGTCTTTGGCGCGCCTCTTTGACAAG